AGGGAGCCCGATGCGGGGCTCGATCCCAGGACACTGGGATCATGACCTGAGCCGAAGGCAGACGCTTAACGACTGAGCCACCCAGGCGCCCCTGTGTGACAATTTTTATTTAGAATTTTTCCTTCAATATTTATAAGAGATTAGGATCTGATTTTCTTTTACTGTGTGCAATCTTAATCATTTGTATATCAATTTGAGATTCACTTCATAAAACTAATTTGGAAGTTTTCTTTTGTGTTGTATGTCTGTATATTTTAAGTAACATTGAAATGATCTGCTCTCTAGAAGCTTGTTGTAGTCCCCCTGTGAAAGCATTTAGGCCTGGCATTCTTTTCAGTGGGGAAGGGAGAGCTCTTGATGGTTAGGAGCTTCTTTGAATGCTATGTTTTCTTGTACTTCTATTCCCCATCCTAGTTGTCTGGGATGCTGAAGGCTCCAGGTAGCAGGAAGTAGGAAGTAAGGCTCCAGGGGCAGAGGATACCTTTCTCAAGACAGATGGGGCCTGGGGGTGGATTGGAGAAGGGACAAGAGGGGAGTGAAGTTGGTGGGTGGGTGGGTGGCCTGTGAATAGATGCTGGGGAGGCCCAAGCTGAGGAGAGATCAGCTGCTTCTTCCCAAAGATTTTTCTTCTGACTCTGTATTCCAACCTCTCCTTGTTGCGGGGGGAGTCTCTGTCCTATTTTCACAGCTGAGAAGGCAAAGGAAATTCCCACAGGCCACTTAACTCTTTGGCAGCCTCTGTGGGGGAGGTCCTCAGAGTCACCTCACCTGAGAGAGTTTAGACTAACAGTCAGCAATCCCACCCCAAGTCTCCTCCTTTGCATTTGTCCTGAGCCAGTTTCAGCCAACAAGCCCTGGGGCTCACAGACTTATTAAAAATCCTGAGGTCATAGACATTCCTTTCATGTTGAATTTTTGATTTTCTGAGGCAGCTCTCTCCACAAGGACTCTGAAACAACCACTCCACTGTTCAGATAGCTCTGCTGTGAGGTGGCTTTGCTATGGAAAATGGTGGAGGGGGGTAGACTCTTCCGGGTGCTCTGAGTGTCCATGCCCCCATCTTTCCCCTGCTTCCTGTTTCCCTGCTCCGCCAGCCCTCTGTGCACCTGCAGGAAGCTGGGGTCTCCTTCCCCCTTCCCCTCCCCCTCCTCCCCCCCCTCCCCCGCAATACCGCCTACCACCAGGAGGTGCTGGTCTGTAAGGTAGAGAGTGGAGAGTGGAGCACTTGGCTATGAAAGTCCCCTCTTCTGCCGCTGCAGGATGTTGCTCTTGATTAGAGGCAGGGAAGGGGAGGGAGAGAAAAGCTGTGATGTCCCTGGAGCTCCCTACCACTTCTGAGCCGAGGGAAGACTTCGGAGAGGCTGAAGCCCAAGGGCACCTCTGAGAGATTGTTCTGTGCCCCAGATCGTGTTTCCTGTGTACAAGTTGCGGGCCTTGTGGGAAGCGGGCCCACGGTCAGCCCCCTCCGCCCAGTGCTGTGATCCTGCCAGGCCGGAGGCTTCTAGCTGGAGCAGCTGGGCCGGCAGTGGGCTTGCAGGGCGAGGGGAAGGCTGGGCCGTGAGAGGACTTGGGGCGTCTGGGGAGTGCTCTACGTTCTAGGCCAGCACTTCTTCCCCCTTTAGGTGCAAAGGGAGTCCCTTTCCCAACACTTGTACAACTGCCTCAGGGCTGACCAAGCTTGTCCAGCCCACAGGTGTCAAAGTCAGGGGAGAAAAGATGTGGTGACTCGTTTTAGAACTTTCCAATAGGAGATGTGAGTGAGCACCTTAGTGACCACAGAGGTTCACACTGTGCTGCGGGGGCTGTGCTGTGGGGACTGACAACTGGTTCCAAAGACTCAGGGTGGCCCTGGGAGCTGTCGGCCCAGATCTGTTTCTCACCCGGGGCGGCTCAGCTCTGGCTGGGGTGACTGCGGAGTGAGTGGCCATAGCGGTAGGAGGCTCCTGGAGAGACTTTTCTGTCATTCACATTCGTCCAAGGCCTTCGCAGGGTCTGCTTGGTACAGTGGCCACTTCTCTGCTGGCATATTTTATCCTCCTATTCGTAGGTCGTTTGCATATGACAGAAGGAAGAGGTTAGGTAGAGCCCTGGCCTTGGGATCCAGAGACCAGGGCTGCCCAAATGCATGACAGAGCTAGAGGAGGGATAGTCTCCTCCCATTTTCCTCTTTCTTCTTTAATTAATATTATTATCAATACTATTACTGATGTATTGAACCCTTCCTATGTGCCAAGTCCTGTGCTAAACAGCTTACCAAACAAATTCATTCCCTGAATCCTCATAAGCTTACAAGGTGGGGCGGAGGCGGGGGTGGGCAGTGGGCACTACTGTTCTTGTTGACAGAGGAGGAAGCTGAGGCTTAAGGAGATTGAGCAGTTTTCTAAAGGTCACCAAACCAAACTGAATTTGGACCTATGTGGTTTTTTTTCTTTTTCTTTTTTTTTTTTACCACAGTCTATTAATCATCACCCTCAAATATCTCTGGGAAACACCATTTTTTTTTAGCTTAGTTTAAGTTTCTTGGGATCTCTCATTATATAAGGCAGGTCCTGCCTCTATGGCTTTCACCCACCTGTACAAACTATGGAAATTTGTTATAGCCCAAACCCCAGTGCCCCCTATTTGTGCTCTATTCCCACTAGCTGCTCCCAGCTCTCCCACCCCTGGCTCCTCTGCCTCGACAGCCAGTTTTGGAAACACTCTGCCTGTTCCAGCTGTGTACCCTCTCTGGGACACACGTTAGGGATTACAATTTCTCCGGCTGCGGGCCCTGTGACTACTGGAAGGAGGTGGAGGAGATGTGTCTCGATGTGAGCCTTGAGGGACAGGTTGAATTAAGGCAGAGAGAGGTCGATGAGGCGTAAGTTGTCTAAGAGGCTGGAGGTGGACTGTGGGGGGTGCACGGGTCATGATGTCCAGCTAGGAATGAGCAGAACCCAGGGAGGAGAAGAAACTGGTGTGAGATGGAGCATCCTGCAGGGGGGAGGGGGAGGCTAGGGGCCTGGACATTGTGGAAGGCTCAGGGTTCTTGCCTGGAATGGAGGGGCAGAACAGCAGGCTTTAGATGTTCCCTTGGTAGAGGAGCAGATTTTCGGGACGTACACCATGAAACATGCCCAGGGTAGCAGAGGCAAGCCCTAGAGGCAGGTGAAGAGAGACCCTCCACCTCGTTTCCCCAGAGTGTGGATTCACCAGAGAGGAAGCTTGGACCTTCTGAAGGCAGGGTCCATGATTATTCACCCTTGTCTCCCCAGAGCCTGGTGCTGAGTCTGGTGTTTCGTAGGCCCTCAGGACTTTCAAATAAATGCAGGAACAGACAGAGGGCAGGAAGGAAGAAGGATGGGTCAACAGTAGGACTTGATCAGGAGCTAAGGACTCCAGACAAGCATCAACCAACCCCTTTCCAGGGTCAGGTAACTGGGGCTCACCCTTCTCTGCATTGCTGGTTTTCATGGGTGTCACCAGTCACAAGAAAATTCACTCCTCTGGTCTCCTCTGATTCTACTGGGTTAGAGAAACTAAGCCAGGGTTCAACAAAGTCTCAGTCTGGGTAAACAAGACTGAAGAAATCCGATTCAAGAAGAGGAACCTTGTTCAAAGGCAAGTTGCCCTGTTGTCCAAGACTTTTTGTCCTGCCTACATCTTGTCTCTGAAGTAACTGCCTCTTGTTCATGGTTCATTAGATTTCAAGCACAGGTCCTGGTCTGTAAGTGTGCAGACGTAGGTTTCTCTTATGGGTACACATTCCTTAGTTGGATAAAGCCAGGGGAAGCCCAGTGAACTCTATCAGTAACCAGTTCTTCAGAATCTTGGGCATTGCACAGTTACACAGAGACCTTGAGCTCCTGAGACAAAGGCTGATACAAAACAGGCATATTAAGACAGAACTTAAAAACAGTAGATTGACTAATAGTAACCCAAAGACCAAAGTGCTTCTAACCACATTTTTGTTTATTTTTTAGTGTGTTTCCTTCATGGTCTTTCTTGTGGCTCACCCTCTGCAGTTTGTGTACTTGTTGAGAGCTTTTTTTTCTGTCCCTGCCATTGTTTTTGCTGAGCTCAGTTCTTCCAAGACCCTCTCTCCTCATAGGCTCGGTTTTGGCCTGCTATCTGCAGTCCGCCAGTTTTGGTGGCAGAAGAGGCCTAGGCTGCTTCCTGTGGGCCCCCCGTTGGGCAGAAGCATGCGGTTGTATCTCCTCCTGATCTGGGCCCAGGGCCTGGGGCAGGCTCCCCTCCCAGCCTCAGGTAAGGCCTGACAATCCAGCGTGGGACTGGAGGAAGAAGAGGAGGAAAGGGAGGATGGGAGTGGAAGTGGGAGTGAGGGAAGGAAACGCATGGTTTTCAGAGTCTTGTATCCCCTCGTGTGAGAAAAGGCAGCCTCTGGGAAGGAGGTGCAGTTCTGTTTTGGCAGGTGAAGTCCTTGGAGTTGGGGTGCCTGACTGGCCAACCCAAGAAAAGAAATAGGGGGAAAGAAAAGGACCAGGAGGAGGGATGATCAGTTCCCTTGTAGAAGTTCAGTCCTGCTCCATCGTTCTGTCTTCTGTCCTTGAGGAAACTTCTAGAAAGGCATTGTATGTTTTCTGTGGATCAAAAATGTCTTCTTCACAGACTCCAGAGAGTCTACCATTATAGATTGAATTTACTTTGGATCTGTTTTCTTCTGTATTAAGAACCATAGACAAATGTTTCTGAGGAAGCACACAGATGCTGAGAAACTAGTATAATTTATTTTTTATGTTGTTTTTTGAATCATTTGAAGGCAGAGCTGTGCCCACGGTGTGGTCAGTGCTAAGGAGGGTGGTTTTGTGTGGGAGAAACAGTTTCTCTTCAACCCTCCTTTCCTTTGGATTTTGTGGCTTTCCTGAAAGTTTTTCTAGGCAATCCCAAAGGGCAGTCAACCAAACAGCCAGGTTTCATTTCAAAGGATAATGTGCCCAGCACAGAACTGGCTGCCGGAAGCTCAAGTACAACAGAAGTGGTGGGTGACAGGGCTTATAATCTAGGTAGGAAGAGAAAATAAGTACATGGAAATAATCAATGAGCTCGTCGTGAAGCTAGATTACAGCAGAATATCCTGAGTGGGTGACGTGCTCTGCCGTGTAACAATTATAGTCTCTGTGGGGAGTGACGGGATGGACAGGAGAGTCTGTCATTCCAGAAACTAACTGTGGCCTCAAAGCCCTTTGGGATTTTGGTGGGAAGTTTCAAGGATAGCTGTTGCTCCAGGACTCATGCATGCTTTCTCCTCTTCCCTAGGAGCTGTGTCAGGCAGGATAGTAACAATGGGGAACGTTTCTGCAGAGGAAGGTGGCTCTGTCACCTTGCAATGTCATCTCTCCTCCACCACTGCCAAAGTGACTCAAGTCAACTGGGAGCAGCAGGACCAACTTCTGGCTGTTCATCATGCTAACTTGGGGTGGCACATCTACCCAGCCTTCAGGGAGCGCATGGCCCCAGGCCCCAACCTGGGCCTCACCTTGCAGTCGCTGACCAGGAATGACACAGGGGAATACTTCTGCACCTATCACACCTACCCTGATGGGATTTACAGAGGGACACTCTTTCTGGAGGTCCTACACAGCTCAGGTATGCCCTCTGGGGCAGGGTGGCTGATGAACTTCATCCTCCAGAATAGGAAATGTGTTCCTGCCAAACACTCTGCCAGAGCAGGGTCCCTCAACCTCGGCTCACATTCAAATCACCAAGGAGCTTTAATGAACTGATGCTGGTACCCCTTTGTAGACCAGCTTGATCAGAATCTCCAGAGGCAAAGCTGGGAGGTAATAGGTTCTAAGAGCCTGGTGATTCAAATGTGCAGCCAGAATTGAGAACCACTGTTTTGGGTAAGAAGTGCATCTTATGTGCGTTTGTTGGGAAGAATAGTCATTAAGGTCATTTGGGAAGGGTTCTCGTTTATTAGTTTAGCATCAATCATGCAAATTTGAATTAGCTTCTAAGTTTTATAAAGGATTAAAACACAGTGTGTGCTAAGTGAAAATGTACAGCAATTTGCATTTGTTTGGTACTTCATAGTTTCCAGAATGCTCTCACATTCATTATCCACCTGAACACTTAAAGCGGTTCCCTGGGAAGTGGGAAAAGATGATTGCGTCTGAGAGACAGTATAGCAGGGTGCTTATGAGCTCAGGCTCTGACACCAGCCAGCCTGGGTCCCAAATCCTGGTGCTGCTGTTGACTTCAGACAGGATCACTTAGCTTCTCTGTGTATCACTTCTCTCATCTGTGAAACAAAAATAGATGTAACCTTACGAGGTGCTACCATAGGATTGAATTCCTTACTGCAAGAAAATGCCCTTAAACAGGGCCTGGGACTAAGGAAGTGTTGGCTATGAATGCCAGCCCCTCCCACGTAACTATCTGATGGGGGTGGAGGCTGAGAAGATACAAGGCTACTGGGAAGTTTCTTTTCAAATGGTACTTCTTGGCTGGCTGGGACATAGTTCAATGCCGCACGCGGTTGGAGCCCGTATCCTTTCTGGTTCTATGGACAGCCCACCGCAGCGCTTCTGCCCCGTGAAGCTGTGTTCTCCATGACCACTTTGCTCCCCATCTGCCCTCTTTCCCCACCTGCGGCCAAAGCAAGAGGCTGAGTCTGCCAGGCAGAAGGAACTCATTCTGGGAGCTTGGGCTCCCTCCCCCTGGTATCCCATGGGTACTGTGAGCACTACCTTGCCCCAAGTGACTGCATTTTTAGCCACCTTTCCCACAGTGTAAACCCTTAGTTAGAGGGAAGAGGGCCCAGCCTCTGCTATCCCCTTCTTTCAAGACTTCCCTGGACACCTGGGATCTGCCTGAGCTCCTGGAAAGGAGGCAGGGATGGGACGCAGCAGCCTGGACACCCTTCCACCTGCGGCTTGGCTCACATCTGGGCGCCTGTCCTGTTTCTCTCACGCTCTCCTTGCATCAACTATCCCACTTCTCTTCATAACTCCCTTTTGGCTTCTCCTCCTTACATTTTACATCTTAATAGAAGTTCATTTTCTCATGCTTTTCTTCATATCATGAACATTTATTAAGCACCTGCCATGTGCCAGGTGCTGAGAAAAAGTAAAGGCTAAAGCTCTAGAACCTCACTCCCCTGCCAGAATCTCCCAGCTGGAATAATGTGATAGGCTTACGGTGAAAGGTTATATGCTTTTTGCCCTCTTTTCAGTACTTTAATATTAATTTTATTTTAATTATTTTTTTTTTTTTAAAGATTTTATCCATTTATTTGACAGAGAGAGAGCGAGAGCAGGAATACAAGCAGGGGGAGTGCGAGAGGGAGAAGCAGGCTCCCCGCTGAGCAGGGAGCCCGATGTGGGACTCGATCCCAGGACCCCGGGATCATGACCTGAGCCGAAGGCAGACGCTTAACGACTGAGCCACCCAGGCGCCCAATTTTATTTTAATTTTTAATTAAACTTTTTTCCTGGTATGATTATAAATATGAAATTTAATGAAAGAAAATGTTCACTCTCTGGGTTTTTTTTTTTTTTTTCCTCTGGATGTCATTGTTTCATTTCATGATTATTATAGAAAGCGGTTTTATCGACTAGAGGAAGGGAGTGTTAACAGTGGTCTGCTCTGGGGTCAAATGTGTGAGGTGCTTGAGAGGTCAGCGGTTGATTTCACGACGGGCCAAGCACCTGCTCTGCTGGCCAAAGAGCCGGGCTTAACGACCCCAGAACTTTGAGAAAGGCCTGGCCAGCCCCCACCTCTGGGCCCTGACACAGAGGCTTCGCTGTGTGATGGTTGCCTTTTGCTTCTGGCTTTCACCCCCTCATCTTCATTTTTTCATCCCTCCAGTGGCTGAGCACAGCGCTGCGTTCCAGATCCCACTGCTGGGAGCCGTGGCCACAGTGCTGGCAGTCGTCTGTGTGGCAGCTATCATGGTGGTCACCCTGACCAGAAAGGTAATGACCCTGGCTGCACAGCTCA